AAGTTGGAAAAGGAGGCCAACACTATTACTGATTCCGCCCTTCCAAACAAATTGGAGCCAGAATCCGGCGCTATTACTGATTCCATTCGTCCAATCAAGTTGGAACATGAGGCCAACACTGTTACTGATTCCGCTCTTCCAACCAAATTGGAACCAGAAGCCGGCGGTATTACTGATTCTGCTCTTCCCACAAAATCGGAACGGGAATCCAACACCAGTCCTGCTTCCCTTGCTGAAACCTTAAAGGAGCCAGAAACCGAAACTAATCCTGATTCGGCTGCTGAAACCCTACCCTAATAGGTTTGTCACACTCACACTAACATTAAACCTGAGAATAATGGAACCTAAAATGAAGTGAGGCCATTTTGATACATGTTGTACTATGTGTTCATATTTATAATTAGATTAGATGATCTAGGCCTAGATAGTTTCAACTTTGAACCTAGCAGTTAGCACATATCACATTCACATATGCATTCTTTGATTGTTGGTTTTTGCATCCTGTTCCTGTTATGTTATATTTCTACCGGATTTTGTGAGCTGGTACTATATTACATATGACACGAAGATGACAGTTGTGGCGGCTGCTGGTGGTGGATAGAGTGGTTTCATGGTTTTTGCTTTTGTAGGTGGACTGACTGACTGCAGACTGCAGTGATCTCATATTTATAGTGTTTGTTAGATTGTAGCCTTGATTTGTTCTTTTTGATCATGCTTGGTTGCCTGTAACACCAAATTTTGTGATGCTTGATTTTATATAAAACTTAATGCAATTGTTTAATCATCTGTTTCTTATAGGTATATGGGTTATAGGTATGTGCAAATGGATGAATGTATAGATGTGTAAGTAGCCAAAGGGATTTGTCTTTTTTTTATTATTTGGAAAGAGAACTTCTTGTGGTTAAAACTGAATAAAAGCCATGGTCATGATAGAGTGTAGTGACTTGTTTCAAATAACGGTCTACTCACAAGTTCAATGTAGAGTGATGAACAAAAGAATCTAGTTATTGATCCATGCCTTATGCTTGAAACAAAAAACTTATGCCGACAAGGTAAATTTAGTGGACCAATTGACATTTACTACAAATATTTTTTGTCACTAAATTTTCATGTTTGGCGCATATTCTTTTGACGTGGTAGCATTGTATCCATTGTTAGACGTTCTCCCCTACTTGATCCGACATTAGATTGTTATGTGTTGCACAATTAGTAAAAGTTTTAAAGATTTCAAGATAATATGTAACCTTACAAGTGTTAAGTGAAAGTCTAGGGTTTGATTTTAGGAGTGAGTTGTTCACTAAATAGTTTGTACAAGTGAAAGGAATATAAAGAAACTAGTCGAATGTCCGCGCGTTGCGCAGAAATACCTATAATACCTATATAGTTGAAATCTTTACAAATATATGTTTTATTAAATATAACAATAACGTTCTTTTTAAATTTGATATAATAATTCGTATACGAAATTGATATAATATATTGATTATTTTGAATTATATTATAATATATAAATCTATTAAAACTACATAATTTCTATCGTTTGAATAATCTCTACCCGTGGGCTACTCATAGATGAAAATAAAAATAATATATGGTTTAATATTATTTGTTATTGTTAATTAATTTTTTAAAAATTATTTGTTTAATATTTTAATTTCTATCATTATAATTATTTAAAACATCAAAAATTGTTTTTTGTTTTTAAAGGTAACAATATAATCGTTTATATAAAGTTAGTTTTAACTATTGTTATTGTAAGTTATTTTAACATATTTATTTGAAAATTTAAATGATTATAAAAATATCTTTAGGAAATATTTTAGTTAAATGGAGATTACAATTTAGTTTTTACATTTAGCACTACAATTTGTCACTTTTAACTATTCACAAAATATTATTTGAGTTTTTTAAGTGAAACTGGAATTTATATTAAAGTTGACAATGTAATGTTATATTTAAATTAACAATTTAAGTATTTTATCCAAACTGTTCAAAAGTTGTAGCTTTAAACTGATAATGGTTTACATATAACAACATATTAAATATAATAAATTAAGTATAATATGTTAAAAATTAAAGATATAACATTATAAGTAGAAGTAAAGATATTATTTTAATATTAAAATTTATTTTATTTATGATTACCCTTAGGTTTCATATTTATTTAACTTTATTAACCAAATTATAATCATTATTAGAAAGACACTACAATTTGTCATTTTTAACTATTTACAAAATATTATTTGCGTTGTTTAAGTTGAATTAAAATTTATATTTAAGTTGACCATGTAAAATTTAAACTATTCCTAATAAACTTTCTCAAAACATCCGTAATTATATATATATATATATATATATATATATATATATATATATATATTATATATATCTATATATATATATATATGTGTGTGTGTGTGTCCTCTCATAAGTAAACGTTAATCCACATGACTCAAAAGGAAAAGAAAGGAAAGGTATTGTATGCATATGAATTATGAGCCACATGTAACAATAATAATGTAACGAATATAGGATCAAATCATTTCTAGTTGGTCCAATCAATTCATATGTAGAGTGTAGACAGTAGACTCACCCTCACACTCACCCCCAATTGGCAATCATGCATCTCGGACATTTTCTAATGTCCATCGTCGACTATATATACTTTTAAATCATAACTTACCAGCTTTTTATACACTTAGATATGTATCTTAAGAAAGAATTGCACTGTTTTATAATACAACAGAAAACAATTAATATTGATTATTGATGTGTATATATGTAATTGAATGTGATCATAACTTTCCAAAGTTGGAGCGGAGAATCATGTGACATTCAAAAAGGAAAACCATCAAAGAAGGGGAGCGGAAAAGGTGAATACACTTGGAAAATAAGTTTTTTTTTTTTTTTTCAAAAATCGATATATATTTCAAAAATTATAAATTTCGAATTTATTATAACTTATTATGCTATCAGATTTTTTTTTTCAAAAATCGACATAAACCAGTTGAAAATAATTGGACACGGTTTTTATAGGGAACTTTATTATTTTAATTTTTTAAAAGTTCATCTTTTAACCAACTTGGTTACACTATTGACTTTCTTTTTCTTTTGTATATTTTTTGGCATTTAATTAAACTTTTACTTGGTAACATGGTGTTACATATTGCTGCATGATTAGAGTAGGATTGGTTAAACTATCCCATAAAAATAGAGTTGGGACCTTGGCCCTCAACCACATGCATGTGACTTCCCTTATTGCATGTGAAACCTTAATTAAATAAATGATATATACATATACACACATATATATATATATATATATATATATATATATATATATATATATATATATATATATAATTCAAGTAGTATAAAATCTTTCTCTATATATATATATATATATATATATATATATATATATATATAGAGAGAGAGAGAGAGAGAGAGAGAGTTTTTATACTAGTTGAACTTTTTACATCTTAGATTTTCACTTGAACTAAAAGTACACCATGCTAAATTGCTAAGACGTAAACCGGAGTTTATCAATTAATCATCTAATATCTATTTTAACCACAACGAATTCGATTGACCGGACATAACTTCAACTACTGCATTAGGTAACAATTAATTTATCTATGTTTGATGATTAAAGGTGTGCATTGATTTTATTGTGATGGTTGTTGTTTCATATATTAATACTCTTCAATTAATAATAATAAATTTCAATTTATTATTATTACTATTTCTATTAGTTATTTATTTTGACTATATATTTCAAACTTGAATATTAGATTAAAATAAAAAGCCATAACATGTTTTTATTAATTTGTTTATTACTACGTTTTTTTCTTATCATAAAATTTTATTTTGAAAACCACTCTCAAATCTCAATTATAGAAACATTATGCAAATTAATACAAATAATTTTTTTTTGATATTATGAAAGTACAATATCTTGTTATGGAAATTAATCTAAGGCTTGCCTCTATTCTATAAAAATAACTTATAAAAAAGAAAGTGTGATAATTATAATATTTAAATAAACAAAATGTGGTGTTATTCTTATATTTAGCTCTTAAAAACCCACCAAGATCATAGTTAGTAGTATTGTTATCAATTATTTTGCATTAATTATAATATATATTGTATCTTTTAGAGTATGTTTGGCATACCGGCTAAAAAACTATATCTTAGCTAAAAAACTAGTTGATAAATGAAAAGTTAGCTGATAATTTATAAGCTATCTGATAAAAATGACGTTTGGTAAAACTAGCCGATAAAACGACATAAAATGATATTTAGGATAATGAGCGTTCTATAACTAATTAAGTGTACATTTTGAATATTTTAAAAAAGCTTTTGAAAAATTAGTCGAAAAAAGTTTTTAAAAAGTTAGCTTTAAGCTATTTTTGGTTTGTCAAACATGACAACTTACAAAAACTCGAAAAATAAGTTAGCTTATCAGCTAATTGTGGCATGTCAAACACAGCCTTAATGTCGCTATTTTCCAAAAAATTAAAATTCCTATCAACTTGTAACTTGAGAAGTAAAGGTTAATTAGTTGACATTTAAAAAATCACATCCATGATCCACGAACAAATGGAATATATAGTATTTTGGTTTCATTAACCCTATGATCAATTTTTCATAGATTTGAGTTGCAATAGTTTCATCATCGAATTATAGGTAAATCTGAAAATATTATTTATGTAAAGGGATCCTAATGTAAATTCTAAGGCATTGTCTTCTCTTGCTTTAAATGGCGTAAATACTTCACCTAATTAAGGTGGTTAATTGATGTAAAAATACATTGTCATAAAAAAAAGGACTTAAATTATCTTGTTATTGTGTACATTTACCCGTAATGCTTTATAATAGTATATTATATTATTATTATTATATAAACAAATTTTTAAAATTAAACCCCATTTATTAATTTAATTACATTACACATGTATCCTTTCTTCAAAACTATAAAAAAAATCCCACGATCCAATATTCACATTTCACAACCCTTGATACTCAATTCTCTGTAAAACCACTCCAAAATAGAAAGAGAAAACATACCCTTCTTCAACCTTCAGACCATATATTCTTCTGGCTTACATTGATATTTGCAAACTACAAGGTAAACATGTGCATATGATATTAATTTGCATTACAACGTCTCTTAATCTGTAATCGGTAAGTAAATCTCTTTTGTTTCTAACCATACGTCCATACCCATACCCATTTTAAATTTTGTTTTATATTCTGTAAAACATATGCATTTTCATCTTAGGCTCCTTCTATTCTTCTGCTCCCAACGTAATGTGTTAACAAAATCACATCTTGTATACAAATCCCATAGGGAACAAACTGTGTTTGTGATTTACTGATTTTATTCCCGTTGCCGTTTTCTCCTTCTTGAGCTCAGCTCAGTTGTAGAGTTTAATTCTTGAGGGCACATTCTAGGAGCGTTTGCTCATATAGTAAGAGTCTTAGAGAGATACATTCAATTTCGTTTCTGATGTATGAGAATTTTGGTTGAGATCACAGGAATTAGAATGGTGGATCACATTTGAAATGATTGCAAATTTTTGAGATTGAAAAGAGATAGTAAAATGGGAATTTGTGCTTGATATCTCTCCTTGCCTTCCAAGTGTTTGATATTTTGTTTGAGAGAAAAAAAGAGAAAAGTTGACTAGATTGATTAACCTATAACATTAACTAATGGTCAATGGATAATGTTCAAGTCTTCAAGATCCATTTTGCATTTAAAAAGACTCCACCTACAATCAAAAGTCAAAAGTTGAATCTAAGGGTTGTGAAGGGGAAGAACAGTATGATGAGAGGGTGAGCGCTCAAATGGCTGCAAAGTATTTGCATTCACTGGCAGATGAAAATCCAGATCTGAGGAAGCAAATAGGATGCATGACAGGTGTCTTTCACATCTTTAATCGCAACCAGATTGTTTCCAGAAGCCTTCCTCATGGTAATTCTTAACTTCTTTATGATAGTTTCTCTTGGTTATCATTTTCTCTTGTTAATATATGCAAAAAAAGTAAATGTTATTGTTGATTATTTTCACTAAATTTTCATGCAGGTGGTTTGCTTTTTAACAACGGGACGCCTGAAAGAGAGTCGAGTGTAATTTCCCAGAGAAGCCCGAATCTGGTATGTGTAGTTAAAGTTGAAATGTTTTTTTGTAACTTTTTTTTTAAAGTTTGTAGAGACAACAAGGTAGATAATAGAGCAATAAGTTGTAGAGATATAATTCTCATTCGTAATTTACTCTGATTTTACACATTTTTTTTTCAGGAAAAACATTCAAAAAAGCACTATATGGAAAAACACAGGGTATCCACAGAATCATATAAAGAATCTATATCCTCATGGTCTCCTCCATCTCCCTTTTCTTATGCGAATAGAAGATCAAATCCAGAAACTGATAAATCAAGTGCCTCTGGACATCAGAATCTTGACCTTAGAGATGTAGTCAAAGACTCAATGTATAGAGAAGCTCGTGGGTTATCACATAATGTTCTTGTTGAACTTCAAGAACCCGATTGGTATTGTAATGAATTTTCAAGATCAAACTCTAGCCAATTTAAAGATGGGTTTTCTAAAATTTATCCAAGATTTTCATATGATGGACATACAACAACCCCAAAGCAACTGAAAGAAGTTCCAAGACTTTCTTTAGATAGTAAAGAGAGATCCATACGTACTCTTAACTCTATTTCACTTGTACCCTTTAAACCATATGATTCAAAATCTAACCTAAATTCAAGAAACCCTAATGAAAAATCCCTGATTCAGACCAAACCACCCAGTGTTGTAGCCAAGTTAATGGGATTGGAAACTTATCCCCATTCCACATCAACCAGCAACAAGGATCTTGATTTGTTGTCAAAATCTTTAAAAATCCCTAATTCCACAAAAGAACCAGCATTTGAATGTTGGAAAAATCCCGACATGAAACCGATTTCTAGGGTTCCAATTGAAGCAGCACCATGGAAGTATCCACATGGTGGTCAAAATCCTCAAAAACAATCTTCCCGTGTTACTAAATCCACTTCTGTTTACAGTGAAGTGGATAAAAGATTAAAGAATCTTGAATTTTTAGAATCTGGAAAGGATCTCAGAGCTCTTAAACAGATATTAGAGGGAATGCAAGCTGTGGAAGCAAGAAAGGGCGAAAGAGACAATACAGTTGTTCATCAAAGGCCACCATCTGAGAATGTTTCAAGGGGTCGAGAATCCCATATTGTAATCATGAAACCAGGAAAGATTTTTGAAAAGGGTTTTATAAATAATAATAAAAAGTTTAAAGATCCAAATACTGAAATTACAGATTCTTGTAAACCAAGAAAGCAATCAGAGTCTAGGTCTCCTAATAGGAGGAGGCAGAGTTCTAGCTCAACACAAGAGGTATGTTCTTGTATTTTTATATTACTTCCACTGAATTTCAGTCTCTTTATATTTTTATTAATATTATTTCCAGAAATCAACATTGATTGTGAAAGTGGATGAATCCGAATATCCAAGTCCAGTTTCTGTTCTTGATGATTCAGTCTATATGGATAATTCACCTTCACCTGTGAAGAAACATACACCAAATACCCAAAAAGGTACATTTCTATTTCTTACCCATAATAATTTTATTCATATATCTAAAGTTAGTTTTTGATTAACAGATTATTCTAAACAAAAGCGTGAAAAACTTAAGAAAATTGAAGATTTGGTTGAAAAACTTAAGAGACTAAACTCCAGCCACAATGAAGCTCACACAGATTACATTGCATCACTATGTGAAAACACAAACCCTAACGACAGATACATTTCAGAAATCCTGTTAGCTTCTGGACTCCTTCTTCGAGACCTTGAATCTTTTGAGTTTCATTCCTCTGGTCACCCGATTAACCCGGAGCTGTTCTTGGTGTTGGAACGAACCAAATTTGGTAATTTACAGAAAGAGAAGTTTCACAGGAAGCTAATCTTTGATGCTGTTAATGAAATTCTTGTGGAGAAGTTAAATTCGGTTTCATTGATTGTTCAGAATCCTCGAGAGCTTTTGAGGGAGGTGTGTTTGGAGATAGAAGAGATGCAGGTGGAGAAGAAAGGTGAAAGGTGTGATGTTGGGGAGGAGGAGGAGGAGGGGGATGAGTTTAAGAGGATTTTGAGGGAGGATGTGGTGAGGCGGCCGGAAAATTGGAGGGGGTTTTATGGTGGATGTCCGGTGGTGGTTATGGAGGTCGAGTGGTTGATTTTTAGGGATTTGGTTAATGAATTGGTTGTGATGGAAAGTGAATTGTTAACTTGTTATTGAAGTGACCACCTGTGACTTTTTCCGGCGGGCATTTGATGATCGCGGAAAGGCGAAGGTGTGATCGTACACCTCCTATTGTTTATGATTTGATTCTGGGATGTTTTGACACTGAACTATTTTGGAAACAAGTTTTGTAATAATAAATGGTTTTGGAATGATTTAAAAAGTTTAAATTTGGCATGATTTTTTTATGGATGTTACAAGTTGGTACCAGAGGCTTGGTTTGAGTGAATTGGAGAAACACTCGTGTGAATCCAGTCTCAAACTAACGACAAGATTTTCAAAATGATTTTTCAAATGGTTTTCAAAATAACAAAGAAGGACGCAGAGTGTACGATCAGGCGGATCCAGTAAGTAGACCCCAAAATACCTTACGGATTATTTGATTTATGTGATATGATAGAACAGCATGCTAGTACTAGGCTAGGGATATTTAGGAATTGCATGATAGAATTGCATGATTATATGATGCCTGATAGCCTAGGGTTTTTCCTTATATGAAATTGACATCATTACTGTAGTTGTTTAGTGTATGCATTACGGTCGTACATAATTAAGATCTTATAGCCTGAAAATATTTGGTTTGGCCTTATTTCCTGTTCTTGTTTGATGAAGGGCTTAGGGTAGGATCAGGTATTCGAAAGTCTATAGGGTCCAGCGTTATGTATGGCTAGCATACACGAGTGTTGCAGGGTTGGTGGAAGTTTCAGGGATGGGTTGTTTGGGATGAGTTCGATAGTTATGAGATAGTTAGCCTTCCTCTAGGAGTGAGGGTTGAGCGATCACCATGCATATGTATGTTGTTAGGGCGTTGTGATGATACTTGAGACAAATATGGGTAGGTGTGGAAGGTAGTATGGGCCCGTACTACTGAAAGCACAGGACCCATACGCGTAACAAGGAAGTCACAATCCCTAGGGTTTAGTTGGGAGTTAGTTCCCTGTTATTTATGCGGATTATCTGATATATTCCTGGTATATTTTCAGTATGCTGGTTACGAGGCGTTTTGTGACTGGATCCGGATAGGGATCAGGGCAGGGCGATCAGGATTCCCCGACAACGCTCAAGATTATCGGCCAGGGTGGGCCAGTGTTGACAGAGGATCGTGTCAGGGAGATCATCCGCGAGGAGGTGGTCGAGATTGTCTGGGGTCAGTTCCGGAGATGTTTGGGTCTATTAAGACCGCCATGATAGAGTATTTCGATGACAGATATGCAACCCTTGCTGAGACGGCTGCCGCAGCAGCTACAGCGGCTGTAACAACGGCAGGGGGAGGAGCCAGTCAGGCTTTTCAGTATTGGGACTTCGACAACACGAATCCCCCTTCTTTTGATGGGACTCAGGACCCCATCAAAGCCATGAGGTGGCTATCTGACGTGGAGGGGTGTTTCTTCACGTGTTCATGTCCTACTGACCAGAAAATCAGATGTGCCCTGAACCTGCTGAGGTCTGGGGAAAAGGACTAGTGGAGATTGATGACTGGATCGTATTCTGATGACCAGAGGGCTGCTGTTACTTAGGAGCAGTTCAGGGATATGTTCCGCGCTCACTACATCCCACGGGTTGAGCGGGAGCGGCTAGCTCAGGAGTTTCTGGGTTTGAGACGTGATGGTGAGACAGTGGCGGAAATCACCTGCATGTTTACTGAGAGGGCGATGTTCTGCCCGGAGTTTGCTTATGAGCAGGCTCAGATGACACGTTATCTAAGCATGCTCAAGACTGATATTCGACAGTTTGTGGCGACCCAACATTGTGATACGCTTCTGGATTTACAGGAGGCCGCTAGACGGCGCGAGTTAGAGATTGAGCCGCAATTGAGGGAGCAGCGGCAGGCCCCGACACAGTCACAGCCGGCGCCAAAGTGGTCCAAGACCGCTGATACTAGGACTGGAGGACAGTCAGGCCGCACTTGTGGGAAGTGCAGGAAGGCTCATTCGGGGGTTTGCCGATCGGGGAGCGGGTGCCACAAATGTAGCAAGCAGGGCCACATTGCTAGGGATTGTAGGCAGCAGACTCCAGCTCCTAGGGTCAGATTATGTTATCATTGTGAGCAGATGGCCATATGAAGGCTCAGTGTCCCCTACTAGCCGCTAAGCCGGCGCAGGCTCCTGCACCGGCTGCACTGAGGATTTCTGACGGGAGTCAGGGTCGAGCAGCGCCCCCGAGGGCCCAGGGACGCGACTTCCAGCTTACAGCAGAGGAGGCCAGGGCAACACCCGACGTGGTTGTTGGTATGTTTCTATCCATTATCTTACTGATTATATATGTTTTATGCTTATATGTTTGTACCAATGATTAGGTACGTTTTTAGTGAACTCCTTACCTACTTTGGTATTATTTGACTCGGGGGCGAGTCGGTTTGTTTCTCAGTCTTTCAGTAGGGAGTTCGGGTTGTCAGTGGGAGAGCTAGAGTGTCCGTTGCGAGTCTCTATCGCCAACGAACATGGGATTTCCTCTTCTTCGGTCTATCGAGGTTGCGTATTGGAGATTTTCGGAGTATCCTTCCCGATAGACCTGATTCCGATTCTCATGGGGGATGTATGTGTGATTGTGGGTATGGATTGGCTTACTCGTTTTGGTGCCATGATTGACTGCGAGGGTCAGCGGGTAGTAGTTCGAACCCCAAGTGGGGGAGAACTGATTTTTTACGGACCAGACGGCATCTTGTAATATCATCACAATTGTATATAATTGAAACAAGACAACATCATCATCATGCATATCAAATACAACCAGCATTGTTTACATCAAGTACAATATCATAAATTACATGTTCAAAATATTTAATGTATGTTGATAACAAAATATAACAAATTCCACCATTTCCTGCTGACCTTTCTTCTTAACGATTCCCTGAGAATACAATTTATTTTGAAAAACGTCAACATATATAATGTTGGTGAGTTCATCAGCATATTTGAATGAAAAGTTTTGAATTGTTTGTCAATACCAGAAAATCCGATATTTTCTGAAAATGGTTTGAACGTGATGTATCAAAATCAAATATTAATGCATGTGTGTTTTCTATATTTGGAATGTATAAAAATGTAATCCAGATAAAAAGGGAGGTGATACTTCCACATAACTTTTTGATACATCCACTGAATTTAAAATGGAAATGACAATTTTGCCAATCATTTATATTTAGAGTACAATTAATTATTCAAAGGCAGGGATTTGTAGCTTGAACCACAATCTGTCACAAATCTTCAATTTTTTTACGACAATCTTCACCCTGAACCTCCTTCCTCATCTATTCAATTTGTTGGTCATCCCCTTGAACCACAATCTCCGATAGAATCCTGTCTTCGGCCAACATTATTTTCACTTTAAACTTCTCTTTTCGTGATCCCCTCTTCACATAACACGCTCCACTATTAATATGTTCCAATTCTCCATTTCCAAATCATTTGTTCACAAAAAGGAGATAGATATGAAGAGGGAAAGAGAGACTTACTCGAATGAGCTGAAAACAATGAGGGCGAACTAGTGGTTGCGCAGGTATGTGACAGTGATGGTAAGCACCACGGCCACAATCTAATACAGGTGCAAAACGTGAGCAACGTCGTTGCCCTATGCTCAAAACAATCGTGCCAATTCGAAACCATTGCAAATTGCCTCAAATCGAAAAATACAATAAAAGGAAAATCACCATACACTCAAAGGAATTCCCGTCCTTTGGTCCTCGCGAGTGAAGAAGAAAATAATTTCTCTGGCAATCTACTTAGGCGTTTTCTTCTTTCCTTCATTTTCTTCCTCAATGAATGTCTTTTGCACCACCTGAAAGAATTTCTCCGACGATTGTTGCAGCTTCGTGAACCGGCGTAATAGCTGCCGACGTCGTCCGCGATCATAAACAACAATTGTTACATCCTCGTGAGTAGATCTCATGCGGATGTCGTTGCTTCTTTAAACCCCGTGGCTAATTAGATAGAGAGGGGGGATTCTTGGTGATTTCAAAAACCGAAGAAAAGAATTTTACGTCATTTTCCTTTGAAGCAATATCCGGTTAACAAGAAATAAGAGACCTTCTAATTAACTCTTTTTTAATAATTGATTATCTTCTAAAGGGCATCATTGTCATTTCCGCTTAAATATCCGTGGATGAATTAAAAAGTATCTTGGAATTATCAGCTCCCAGATAAAAACCCTGTATTTTCTGTAGTACGTAAAAGATATTGTTTAACAGTTACCCCAGAAAATCCGATATTTTCTGTTTATAAAAGTGTTGTGGTCTCAACCCCAAGACCGAATAACAGTATATGTATGTTTTTGTATCCACGAGATTTTATAGGTATTCTATAAAATTATGTTGGAGAAGATTTCTAAGTGAGCCGTTTAACCATACTTGATTTTTGACGAGTTCGTCTGTCGTGGCGTTCTTAGGCGCCGGTTTGATTTACGGTAAGGTTTGTCACCCTAGACTGGCCTAGTCTAGCTGTAGCGAACAGCTTAGGTGTGGGGAGTCACCCCGTATAGATCTATACACAAACTCTCGCTCTCCCTCCAGGAGACTCTGGTTATAACTACAGGCTACGATCATACACTCTAGAGGTGTCAACCGACAAGTCTCACTAGATCATTTATTGTTTTCACATGAGTATTGAATTACGCTATGTATAATGTTTTCGTATATATAGTTAAGATTTGCAAAGCCCAGAAAATAGGTATATGAATGTATAAGGCCCAACAGACATGTAAGGGAGCAGCTATGGCCCACTAAGCATGTGATGTATAGACTGGGCCCATTAAGCATGTTAATAGGTCACAAAGGCCCAAATTAACATGTGGTAAACATATTAGGCCCAACAAACATGTGAACGAGCCACAAAGGCCCAAATGGACATGTAATAGATATATTAGACCCAATATCACGAGATTTACTTTTATGGCCCCAAATATATATTAAATATTATTTCTGGCCCATTTCTATAGAAATTGACATTTTGGCCCAAATATATATAAAATATTAATTTTGGCCCATTTTTACCAAAATTTACATTTTCAGCCCATTTTTGATAAAAATGGCATTTTCAGTCCAAGTTTTGGAAAATTTTGCATTTTTAGCCCAAATCCAAATAATGTGGCATTTTCAACCCATAAAATCGTAAGTTTTACATTTTAGCCTCAAACTTGTGTAAAATAGCAATTTAATCCATGAAAATCGGAGTTTTTACAACTTTGGCCCACT